TTATTTATAGAGAAAATGACCAAGTTATATATTTTATGAAATATTATAAAAATAAAGCATATAGAAAAAGTTTGTGATGCAATGCTGTCTAAAAAAGCAGCTAAGAAATTAAACAATATAATCTAATAAATAGATATCTAAATAGATAGATAGATAGATAGATAGATAGATAGATAGATAGATAGATAGATACACAATATATAGATACACACTCACACACATATATATATTTCACTGGTTTTGTTTTTCTAGATAACTCAGATTAAGACACAAAGGCATTCAACTGTGTGCATTATCACACATTATGGATAGCATTTTGAAGAATCAGAATTCCAGAACACTCACTGTGTTTGTGCAGAACCTGCACATAGACCAAGAAGCAGTCATTCAAACAGAACAAGGGGAGACTGAATGGTTTTAAGTCAGGAAATGTATGGTCCAGGGTTATATCCTTTCAACATATTTATTTAACCTATATGCTGAGCAAATAATCCAAGACAAGAAAACTTCACTTGCTGAACGTGAAGATGGCTTGAAGCACATGCTGATGAAGATAAAAGACTACAGTCTTCAGTATGGATTATACCTCAATATTAACAAAACAAAAATCTTCATAAATGGACCAATAAGCAACATCATGATAAATAGAGAAAAGATTAAAGTTGTCAAGGATTTAATTTTACTTGGGTCCACAATCAAAGTCCATGGAAGTAGCAGTCAAGAAATCTGCTGCAAAAGAACTCTTTAAAATGTAAAAAGCCAAGCTGTTCCTCTGAGGACTAAGGTGAACCAGACCCAAGCCATGGTATTTTCAGTGGTCTCACATGCCTTTGAAAACTGGACAATAAATAAAGAGTGGGTTAACATTTGGCTTGTTAACTGCAAAAACACCAGTTCAAATCTATCAGCCACTCTGAGGGAGAAAGATAACACTTTCTACTCCTGTAAAGATTTACAGCAGCTGCCTCAGAAGGGCATGGTTGCCTTAATCCTTCCATCTCCATCAGCCATATTAGCTCACTCAAGACAAGAATCATGGTGATACAAGTTCAACTAACTGGCCACAACCAGTGGCTTCTCCATGCAACTACCCATGAGAAGAGCCTAATGTGTTTTATAATCATCCACCAACCATCTTTATATCTTTAGCACATCAGAACTGGAGAGAGAATTTATAACCTATAAATTTCATTCAGAAATGAAGGCAATAATTCCAAGTTCTATTCTCATCATAAGCTTTCCCCTCTGTACCATTAGACCCTTCAGACCATTCTGCCTCCAATAAAAAGTAGAAAAGATTCAAAAATGTAATGGGCTGGACCACACCATTTTTTGCAGCAGTAGGTAGAGAGATGGATGAAATAATGCCATTCAGGGCTCTCGTCTTCTAAATCCAGGAGTCTGTGCTGTATATTTACCCAACCAAAATCAACCACCATTGAGTCAGTTCTGAATCATGGTGATCCCATGTGTGTCAGCGAGGAACTTGCTCCATAGAGTTTCCAAGGGCTGTTTTTTTTTGAAAGTACATCACCATGCCTTTCTTCTAAGATATCTCTTGGTGGACCTCCAACCCTCTGACTGCATTTCTCTAGCAGCCAGCAGCTATTCTTAAACCATTACTCTTAGTGACAAACAAATGGATAACTCTTTAAGCACACAAGAATACGTCAGTGAGTCAGTGAGTTCCTGCTGAACTCCTGGGTCAAGACAACTTGAACATCACATACCACTGAGTTTCAGATGTAACCTTTGGAGTCCGGGCTATGTTACATGTGTCTGAAGTAGGGATCTTGTGGATGCAACTCTGTTTACACAGTGGGCCAAGGGCTGCACCGCTGGAGCCATGCTGGCTAGCCATGGCTGACCTCACAAAGAGATCTTGTAGCTCCCAAGGCAGCCTCAATGGCCTGTTTGTTACGTCTTCTGGCACATCTGATGCATTATATCAACCCAGTTGCCAAGCCTGGCAACCAGCACAAACTCCTCTTAAACTTCTTCATCATCTTTTTAACATCATAACCCTGAGACAAATGACACTTTTCACAAAGGTCTCCAAGAAGTGATGTCCTCCTCTCCTGACCAGTTACCCCACCTCATATCATACCCACTGCCAAGTGACAAAAAGGCCCACTTTATGTCTTTTCCCAAACAATAAAGCCAAGGAAAGAGAATTCACTTTGTGTCTACCAAAGTCTAGAGGTTGAATCAGAAAAAAAAAAAGGTTTACTATTGCAAACCCAACTCTGGTATGATTCTGGAAAAAATGTTGTTGTTGTTAAGTGCCTTCGAGTCGGTTCCGACCCATAGCAACCCTGTACAGGGTTTCCGAGGGTGTAAATCCTTACGGGAGTAGAAAGCCGCATCTTTCTCCCGCGGAGCGGCTGGTAGTTTCAAACCGCTGACCTTAAGGTTCGTAGCCTGATTTGTAACCACTACGCTACCAGAACTCTGGAAAAAATATCATGGGTGATTTTAAACAATACATTGAATTGAATCAATGCAGTGCGTATGCCAGGAATCAGAAGGTTTTTAGAATTTTGAATCTTCAAACCTAGGTTGGAGTTTAAATGTCTCCCTTGACTTAAGGAACAATGAGGGTGAGTCAAAAAATTATCCACATTTCAGTTATCTTATTGGCACTTTCCACTCAAGGTCACTGCTGTGCAGGCGTGAGTGTGGACAGCTGCAAACAAAACTTAGACCAATACTCAAGAGAAGGTAAAAGTGTCTTTAAAAACTCATACGAGACATGGATTCATCACTACGAGCCTGAGAGTAAACTGCAGAATATGGAATGGAAACATCCTCAGTCGCCAACCAAGAAGAAGTAAAAAGTCAACCCTCAGCTGAAAAATTGATGCTTACAGTTTTCTAGGACTCTCAAGGGCCAGAATTGCAACACTATCAGAAAAAACTTCAATAATCAACAGTGCTTTGTTGATTACAATAAATTGTACAGCCAGAGTACAGATAATTTTTGACTCTCCCCTCATATAAAGGAGGTAGAAGAAGCATTCCCTGGGCTCTAACTTGACTTATCCAGTGGGGCAGCTGATGACCACTTTGAAAAGAATGAGTCTGCTGCCTGTCAGAGGTCTAACATGGGTGATGCTGCTTTAAAACTGGCATTCTCAAGCAAGTGTGGGGAAATGTGTCAGCAGCTGGCAAGTACGAAGTGGCAGATCAGTCAGCATTTTTTCTGCCAGCTTACAGTCACTCTCTTTTCAGACGATGTGTGGCCAAGGTATGCCCTGCGCACAGACCCTGGGTCATAGGGGAAGCCCCAACTCAGTCAATTTAGAAAAAGACAAAGGAGTCTTCTAACGAACACTAGTGGCACAGAGGGTCAACCACTGGGCTGCTAGCAGCAAAGTGAAAGTTGACAGTTCAAACCCACCAGTCACTGCTCAGAAGGAAGATGAGGCTCTCTGCTCCCTTAAAAATACATAGTCTCAGAAACCCTAAGGAGCAGTTCTACTCTGTCCTATCGAGTTGCTATGAGGTGCAATGTACTTAATGGCTGTGGTTTTCTGTTGTTTTTTTGGTATGAGATGATATCACCCGTAATGATGTGCAGTGGCTACTTGCTTTCTCTATTCATGCTCCATGCTCTGCCTGCACAAGCTCATCAGCATCCAAACACTGTTCTTCAGAACCAGATTTCCTCCTGGCAGTTTGATTTCCAGCCACCTCATTTCCTGCTACCATGTACTTCAACTTCCATAACTAACCAATGACTACATCCTTACCTCTCTTGACATCTAAGACCTTTCCCTCTTACCACTGTTTGAGGCTTAAACCACCCACATCAGTTTTCACTGAACTGTCTTGTCCTCCAGCTCCCGTTCCTTTAATCCACTCTGCATTGCACTGAAATCACCCTACGAAACACCCACATGACAGTGCTGACTTTTCCCTTTGCCTACAGGATACGGTCTAAACTCCTTACAATGACACTCAACTTCTACTTGGTCTCAACTTCCCTTTGCAAGCCCATCCTCTGTCACTTCTTTCCACATCCTGTCCCATGGATGCTCCATCCTCATGGCTTCAGCTCATTCACTCCTGAACTGTCTGTCTGCCATTCCTTCTGCATGATACATCCAACTATGCCACCTCTATCCCACATCGCTTACCTGCTCCTCAAGACCTAAACTCAAATGTCACTTCCTTTGTATAACTCCTTCTAATTCATTCCAGTCTTGACTCATACTATCCTCGTGTTGCCCTAGAACTCTTGGCACTCTGTTATCCTAAAACAGCATGCCATACTGCCATGACCTGTTCAGGTGCTGGTTTCCCACGAGATAATACTCTATGCACCTTGAGAACAGAGATCACTTGCTGCACAGCATACAGACTCAGTAAGTGTTGTTGAATCCGTCTATCAGAACAATACACTGGAAGGCTATAAGAGGAATTAGGGCAATGGAGTGGAGAAGACAATAATTTGACAGTAAGGTTTCTTGGGTCAAGCCCCCAGCCAGCCCAAAGTTGTGTACTATAGAACATTTCACTAATATCTTAGTTTTAGCTTCTTATCTGTTGAGTAAAGCCTGGGACTGTGAGATGCCTACGCTCCCTTTGAATTCCTTGATCTTGTCATTTGGATGATATTTTCCTTTAAAATCTACAATGACAAAAGACTCTCTAAAGCCCTCTGGAAATAATATGTCCCAGGATTTTGGACACACTCCACAAATCCTCCAGCCAGGAAAATTACAAGTTTGCCAGGAAACAAGGCAGAGCTACCAAGGATGGCCAACAACTGCCCCACCCACCCCTGTAAAGTCATAACTCTCCAACTGCCCTCTGTCACATTTGGAGAAAGTCCCAACTGTTCTCTGTGCTGTTTCAGCCTACATATTTTGGGCAAAAATGGGTTTGTTAAATATTATGCATAAGGAAAAAACTGATAACCAACTCCTAAAATGTCTTAAAAACATAATTGCTGGACTTTTGAAAACCCAAGTTAAAACTGTAAACGTGATAGTTACCTTGTTACACCGTACTCTGGGGGTGGCTGATACCTCAGAACAGCCACTTCTGTCCTCGCAGGCTGGGGAGGTGGGTAGGGCTTGATAATCTCATGCAGCATCCCAGGGTGTTGGTCACTGTAGAAAAGTCCATGCTCCTGGGTCTTGTTGACGGGCGACATCATTTGCTTGGCCTTGAAGGGGTACTCAGGTGGAGGACCTCGAGAGTCCAGCACCTTACCTGCAGGTGGGGCTGGGGAGGGTCCCCCTCCTGCCTTGAACCCCTTTCCAGTCCCTGAACCAGGGAGGTGTTGCTTAACACCATTCCTCTCCAAAGACAACTGCATGATTCTCTCACTGAGAGAGCGGACATGGCCCTGTTTGAGTTCTTTCAAGGCCTCATCTTTATGTGCCTGCCCACTATTGGCACGGTTCACCGTGGGTCTTCCCTCAGTCCGGGACTTCTGACTAGTTCCCCCCGCCATGTAGTAACCATGGCCCACACCCCCTTGCTGTTGCTGCTGCTGCTGCCCCCTAAAGAACTGTGATTGGGCTTTGGCCTCCTCATAAGTGGGCAGTTCCTCATTGTTCTGCTGAGGCTGCGTGGACCGGACCTGCTTCTCCATCACCGTATTGTCCACCTGGTGTTCCTGACCCTGCGGTTCCTGGCGTGCTGACTGGTAGACCATTTGTGGGTCTTCTTGAGTGAGATTTTCCGTGGAAGAAAAGGTGTTTATAGGGTGGGCTGGTCCTGCACTCCCCGTGGCCTGGTGCTGAATGGCCAGCAAATTCATGTTCTCAGTCGGGGTGCCATACCGCAGTTGTTCCTGGATCAGCCGCTGTAATACTCTTCCAGTTGCTGCATCCTCAGAACCTCTCATTTCCACCTCTGAGAGCCTCGGAAAGTTCGGGGAGTGGAATTTACAAAGAGGATCCTCAACTGAAAGATAAGCATAAGAAAGAAGATATCAGATTGTTCCACATGAGATATATTTATATGTCCTTAAGTGTGTGGTGAAACATTAACATTCTAAATACAACAGCTTTAAGGACAAGATATCTAGTACACCAACACCTCCACTTAGCCTGCAGTGTTTCATAGATCTGTTTCTTCAATCCAATGCTGCTCTACTAACTCTCGATTCTCACTCTTCCAGAATCCTCCAACGCTTTGCTCCTTCCTTTCCATTTGACATTCCCATTGATACCTTCTCTTCTCTTCATCATATAAACATGCCATCTTCCTATCTTAATAAGTAAATGTGTGTATGTGTGTTGTTGTTAAGGGCCATCTTATCAGTTCCAACTCATAGCAACCCAGTATAGGATTTCCGAGGAGCAGCTGCTAAGATAACTGCCAACCTTGTGGTTCAAACCAACCATGTAGTCCAGCATATTAACCCACAGCACCATACCAGGATTACACACACATATATATCTGGTAACGTAGTGGTTATGAATCAGGCTGCTAACCTCAAGGTCAGCAGTTTAAAACTACCTGCCATTCCGCAGGAGGAAAACAAGGCGTTCTGCTCCCATAAAGATTTACAGTCTCGGAAACCCTGTGCAGGGTCACTATGAGTCGGAACTGACTCCATAGTACTTAAGGTACTTAACAGAGTACCTTAAGTACCATATATATATATACATATATACGTTGTTGTTGCTGTTGTTAAGTGCTGTCAAGTTGATTCAGACCCATAGCGACCCTGTACGGGGTTTCCAAGGAGCAGCTGGTGAGATTGAACCGCCAACCTTGCAGTTCAAACTACTTTGCAGTCTGGTGCATTAACCTACAGTGCCACCCCAGTACTCTCTCTATATATACATAAAGATCGTAGAATAATTGATGCATTTGAGTTATTGTGTTAGAGGAGAATACTGAAAGTGCCATGGGCTGCCAAAAGAACCAATAGATCCATTTTGGAAGAAGTGCAGCCAGAGTGCTTCTTGAGGCCAAGACGACCAAACTTCATCTCTCATACTTCAGATATAATGTCAGAAGTATGCATCAGTCACTGGAGAAAAATATTACGTTTGGTAATGTGGAGGGTCAGAGAAAAAGAAGACGACCCCCAACGAGATGGATTGGCCAAGTGACAGCATCGATGGACTCAAGCGTGGCAACAATAGTGAGGTTGGTCCAAGATGGGGCAGTGTTTCGTTCTTCTGTGCATAAGATCGCAGTAGGTCGGTACCCACTCGATGGCACCTAACAACAACAACAACACACACACACGTTGTTGTTGTTATGTGCCGTAGAGTCGGTTCTGACTCATAGCGACCCTGTACAGGGTTTCTGATGCTGTAAATCTTTACGGGAGCAGAAAGCCTCATCTTTCGCCCGCGGAACAGTTGGTAATTTCGAACTGCTGACCTTGCAGTTCGTAGACTGATTCATAACCTCTATGGGTCGGAATGACTTGATGACACAAAACAACAACAAAATAACATATATATATAAAACCAAAATCAAGCAAATAAACACCTTTTTGGCCTTACCATACATACACTTCTAATTACTACCCTGCAACTCTCTCCTTTCCCTTCTTTTCTAATTGTCGTCTGTAAGCAATCTACACTTGCTGTCTCCAGCTCCTAAATGCTCCATCCACTGCCCTGCATACTGCCCCAAGAAGTCCTCAACTACATGGAGAATTTTCCAGCTCTCCTATTACATACACTCCTAACCTTTCTGAAGCATTTCCCGTGGTTGATCACTCACTTCTTCCAGATTGCCCCTCTTCCTGATGTTAACCCTGTTTCTCTGCCCAGAGTGCTTTCCAATCTCACACATCAGAACTTCCCTGGGTCATCATCTACAACTTATTATTAGTGTCCAACTCATCATTCCCATGTCTACCACCATCACCAGTCAATGGCCCTTAAGTTCTTCAAATTCCACAGGTCTTCATTACCCCTCCCAACTGCCTACTCCCCCAAATCTATATTCTCTGCTTTATTTCCTGTTTGTCGAGTCAAAAACCTGGGAGTTCTGTCCTTTGTTACTGTATGTCCGGGTTATGATCCTAGGTATCACTGCCAACACTCTTTGGTATTTCCCTGTTCAATTACAAGTTTATTATTAATAACCACAATCTTTTGGTTAGCAACCTAACGTTTAACCATGGTAATACTAGGACTCCAAGTAATCACAATAACAACTATAAAAATAATTTTAATATGCATACAGTGCATGAGGTGCTGTACTAAACTCTTCGTGTTAGTTCACTTACCATGCAATCCTTGAGGAGGAAACAAAGCCCCAGAGGGCAGAGATTTTGTCAGGTACAGTCTCATGCTATATCCCCAATTTACTGATGAACACACTCAAGAAGTACTTGCTAACAAATTCAATTACTAAATTAATTTTACAAACTGGTTCCTACAGTCCAACTTTGATCATGTCATTCCCTTCTTCAAAAACAAACAAACAAACACATCTCAGTGACTTTGGGCAAGCCCCTGGCTTCTCAGAACATCTCTCATCTGTACAATGGGGAGAATTAGTATCTGCTTCATTGGATGGTATGTGGAGTAAATTCAAACTTACTCCTTCCTGTCAGAAAGAATATAGACTGTAGCTGAGATATAAACTCAAAATTCAACTATAAATTTAAGACCACAAAAACAGATGATTAAAATAACACAAAAACAGATTAAAGGCCACACAAGACCAGTCACCAAATAATTGTCATAAATAATGAACAACCCCAAATTGGAGAGGCCAGTGTGGGTTTCACCATCAACTCCTTTGCTCTAAAAATATTTACTGTGAACCTATTACATTTCACGCACCTTGACTGGGGCTGGGGGTTTCGAAAGTAAGAGGATATAGCCCTTCTCTCAGGTTAAATAACCTGAAAGACTTAATGGAACAAGTACACTGGAATTTGTAATTAAAAAAAAAAAAAATACCATAGGAAAATTCAAACAAAAGCAAAATGTTATTCCTCAGGGAATATTATTTATTTGGATGAATGATAATGGGGCTGGAGTCTAACCAAACATGGGAACTATTGAATTTCCTTTTCACTGAGGATTGAGGTATCAGCACATTTGGAAAAAACTTGGAGATGCTTTATAAAGTGATTTTAAAGATACCTTTATTTATTTATTTATTTTTCAAAAGGACAGAATTTAGTTTGGGACTTTTTTTGAAAAATAAAAGTGGCCATCCCCTACCAACTCGAGTTTTAATTCTAGGCAAGGGCAGGAAAAAAAAGTACTTAGGGATTTAATAAAGGAACATGGTAAATATAGTACAAAATAGTTCCTACATACCTAAAATCAACAGAGAGAGTTACATGCTATAATAAAATAGTCTAAAAACAAGGGTTGTTGTTGTTGTTATGTGCCATGGAGTAGGTTCCGACTCATAGTGACCCTGTACAAGGTTTCCGAGGGTGTAAATCTCTATGGGAGCAGAAAGCCTCATCTTTCTCCTGCGGAACAGCTGGTAGTTTCGAATTGCTGACCTTAAGGTGAGCAGCCCAATTCATAACCACTACACCACCAGAGGAGTCTAAAGGAAAGTGTGAATTATGCAAAAGAGTTTTAAAATGTGAACCAGAATGTCATTTCACTTTTCCAACACAAGAGCCAGGAACAACACTTACCAACTTTTTCCCTGATGCCACTGTTTGCCTCCACAGTCAAAGCAGATGCTTCATGCCTCCCAGAATACAGCTGGAAGTCCGGGAAAAAGTAGTTGGGCTCTTCTAAAATCTGGCCAGGACTACTGGGACTGAAACAAGCAGGAGGGGGTCCTGGGGAAGAAAGCAAAGTGTGTATTAGTGCTGATAAAGGCCTCCCTCCTTCCAGCATGACGCATGAGAGCCCGCGAGGCATTCTCCCACATATCCACTGGCAGTATGAGCGCCTCTTTTTAATTCATAAAATTCCAGAGTTATTAATCAGTATTATCACAAGTCCAGTCACACACCAAATGACCTGAGAGGTCAAAGCAACAATCTTCAAGACACCCTGAGTGAAGATGCCAATGTTGGTACCTTAGAACCTAGCTCCAACGGCAGAGGCAACAGCAGCAAAACTCAAGCCCACTAGGTAACTAAACTAGTCACAAAATTTGGAATGGTCAAGGTGGGGGACAGGAAGGAAGGAGATGGAAAGGCCAAAACAGGAAAACTAAAATGGGAAGAACAGCTGTCTCTGAGAATATATAAGATGCAGAGAACGGTGGTCATTTTGCCAGACCATGTGTTAGCAAGAGAATGTCCCAATCTAGCACGGAGCACACAGCTTCACTCAGTGGTTTCTGGAGTCTCATGTTGCAGTGTGGAGCTGGGTTATGGGCTAGGGCCCTCTGCCAAGCACTGGCCTTTCAGCTCCAGTTTATCTGTATCACACCAACTGGAGTGTGTTTCCTGTTCCAATTAAACATGACACTGTATTCAATCCTATAGTAACGAGACATGAGATACCACTCCTATAACACTGATAGGGCACATACAACATCCGTGGGAACGAACATTCAGCAGGATGGGCCCAGGCTCTCCTTCCTTTCTGCACTGATTGCTCTCTGTCTGGACACCAAGCTTAAGGTGTTTTTATTACAAAAATCATTTCATTGACTCTGGGGAGTCACAGTCTTTTGTGTGTGTGTGTGTGTGTTTTTTTTTTTATTAATTTAAATCCTCACCCAAGAGATAATCCCATGCAAAGAAAAATAATGATTTGCAACAATTGCTTCAAATGGCAATTTGAAAATTCTTGCTCAGTTTGTTATCTACCCATTTCCCACAAGGCCAAAGCTAATATTGTGTGACTAAAATAGTTCTATTGAGGGACCAACTGATGGCAGTGTACTCATTTGTTCCTGTGTTTCTTTACCGCATCACTTAAAATTGTAGTGCATGTATGCTCACGCATATAATATACACATCCGAACTAGAGAGAATAAAATATTTTGACAACTAGAGTATTAACTTTTTTAAGTTTTAAAATAGTAATGTGGCTGTGACTCTTGTCTTGTTGTTGTTGTTAAGTGCTGTTGAGTCGGTTCCGACCCATAGCGACCCTGTACAGGGTTTCTGAGGCTGTAAATCTTTACGGGAGCAGAACGCCTCATCTTTCTCCCACGGAGAGGCTGGTAGTTTCGAACTGCTGGCCTTAAGGTTCACAGCCCGATTCGTAACCACTACGCTACAGAGGTAAATATAAACCATGTTATCAGGTTCGGAAGATGAGACCAAAAAAATCCACTGCTGTCGAGTCAATTCTGACTAGAATTTCCAAGACTGTAAATCTTTATGGAAGCAGACAGTATTTTTCCTTTTTCCTGTGGTGAAGCTGGTGGGCTTGAACCACCAACCTTGTGTTAGCAATCAAGTCGTACACTATAGCACCACCAGGTCTTCTTTCTGAGGATGAAAATCAGTCTACAATGATGGTTCTAATGTCTAAGACAGTATCTCTAAATGTTCTCTTTTGGGATGAGTTTCCTGGGAAGAAAGATACCATCCTCCCTTGGTATCATCAGGGTGACTGGTTCCAGGGACCTTCCACCTCCTGTACTAAAATCCACTGATGTTTAAGTACCTTTTATAAAATGACTCAGTATTTGCATATATCTACACACAATCCTCCAGTATACTTTAAATCATCTTTATATTACTTATAATACCTAATGCAATGTAAAGGCTATGTAAATACTTTATGCTTCCTCTTAACCTTTAAGAGATACTCTTTTAGTTGAATAAGGAGCCTGTGTATGATGTAGGATCTAGAAGGAGGGCTGACTGTATTCCTTTTCTGGGCCTCATCTTCTACAACTATAAATCTAGAAGTCTTAGGCTAAAGTTAGGAATCATAGATGGCCTACATCCAAAGGCAAACCCTAATGCTTCAAGCCAGTGGAAAATGTTGGTGGATAGGAAGGGGTGAAACATGCAACCCTGGGTGCACAACTGGGGAGCTTTTCAAATTCCACTACCCAGGCCTCATCAGAGATTTCTTCCAGCGGAATCTCTAAGAACAAGGAATGTACACTTGCATTTTTAAAAGCTCCTTAAATGTTTACAATGCTGAGCCAAAGTCAAGACCCTCTCTAAACTAGAAGGAGAACAGGGCAAACAAATAAAGAAAAAGAAGAAAAGTTTTTCTGGGGTTAATTAAAAAACAATACAAAACACACTGGCAAATCTAAAAAAAGAAAAGGAGAAGATGCAAATAACACAAATAAGAAATTACAAGTATGATATCACAGTAGAACCAATGGAAATTAAAAGGGTAATAACAGGGTACTATGAAAAACTGTATTCCAATAAATCTGAATATCTATAAGAAATGGATATTTTCTTAGAAAAAGACAACCTGCCTAAACTAACATTGACAAAAGTAGAAAATGTGAACAGACCTATAACAAAATAAGAAATTAAAAAACTCCCAACAAAAAGAAGTCCAGACCCAGATGGCTTTATGAGTGAATTCTACCAAACATTTAGAGAAGAGCTGAAATCAATTCCACGTAAACTATTCCAGAACATAGAAAAAGAAAACTCTTGAATACATTTTATGAAACGAGCACTACCCTCTTACCAACTCCAGGCAAAGACATCACTAAAAGAGAAAATTATAGACCAATACTTTTCATGAAATAGATGCAAAATTCTCAACAAAATCCTAGTCAATAGAATTCAACGAAGTGTATATATGAAAACCAATATACCATGACAAAGTGGGATTCATAATAGGTGCTCAGGGATGGTTCAATATTAAAAAAAAAATCAGTGTAATCCACCACATAAATAAAACAAAGGAAAACAGCTACATGATCACATTGATCTATATAGAAAAGGCATTTGAAAAAATCCAACATCCATTTCTGATTAAAAAAATGGTCGACAAAACAGGAATAGGAGGGAAATTCCTCAACATAATTAAGAATATATATACCAACCAACAGCCAATGTTACTTTCTTTCAATGGAGAGCAACTGAAAGCATTTCCTTTGCAAACAGGAACCAGACAAGGAAGTCCTTTATCACCACTTCTATTCAATATTGTGCTGAAAATCTTAGCCAAAGCAGTAAGGCAAGAAAGGGAAGTTAAAGGCATCCAAATTGGCATATATTTACAGATTATATGATCCTATACATAAAAAAATCCCAAAGACTCAGCAAGAAAATTAATGGAACTCATTGAAAGCTTCAGCCAAATGTCAGGTTATAAGATCAACATACAAAAATGAGTCAGCTTCCTTTGCACTAATAAATAGAGCTCTGAAAAGGGAATCAGGAAAACAATACCATTTACAATAGTCATCAAAAAGTTGAAATTGTTATTGGTAAGTGTTATTGAGTCTGTTCCAACTCATAGCAACCCTGTATACGAGGAGCAACTGGTGAGCTTGAACTGCCGACCTTGTAATTCAAACCAGCCTTGTAGTCCAGTGCATTAATCCCCAATGCCACACTAGGACTCGAAAAAATATGAAATACGTAGGAATAAATCTAACCAGAGAAATAAAAGACCTGTTCAAGGAAAACTATAAAACACTACTACAAGAAACCAAAAGAGATTTACAAAAATGGAAGACTATACCATGTTCATGGATAGGAAGACTTAACATTGTGAAAAATATCAACACTATTCAAAACAATCTACAGATATGCAATCCCAATTCAGATTCCACAATCATTGTTTAAATAGTTGAAAAAAAAAAAACACAACTGATCACTAACTTTATATGGAAAGGAAAGAGACACTGGATAAGCAAAGAATTACTTAAGAACAAAACTGAAGACCTTTCACTTCCTGATCTCAAAAACCACAGTCACAGTGGTCAAAACAACCTGGTACTACCACAATAAAAGATGCACAGATCAATGGAACAGAATTGAAAACTCAGATTTAAATCCATCTACATACAGTCTGCTGTTGTTTAACAAAGAGCCTAAATTCATTAAATGGGAAAGACATAGTTTCTTAAACAGATGGTGCTGGCAAAACTGGAAATCTATTTGCAGAAAAATGAAACAAGAGCCATATTTCACACCATATATGGAAAGAAACTCAAAGTGTATTAAAGATCTAAATATAAAACCTGAACTATAAAGATCATCAGTGAAAACAAAACAAGGGGAAAGCTTAGGGCCTCTGATATATGGCATAAGCACACTGTCAACCATAACTGAAAACACACAAACAATAGAAGACAAACTAGATGATTGCGATCTCCTAAAAATTAGGCACTTATGTGCATCAAAATATTTCACCAAAAGAGTAAAAAGAGAGTCCGTAGACCAGGAAAACCTTTTTGTAAATGACATATCATACAAGGGACTAATCTCTAAAATGTATAGAAAATGACATCACTGCTACAAAATAAATAAATAAATAAATAAATAAATAAATAAATAAATAAATAAATAAAGACAAATAACCCAATTATAAAATAGCCAGACGACATAAACAGACACTTCACCAAAGAATACATTCAGGTGGCCAACAGTTTCTTCAATTGTGAAAAAATATTCATAATCATTAGCCATCAGAGAGATGCAAATAAAGCAACAATGAAATATCATCTATCACCTGCACTGATAGCAAAGTTCAAAAAAGCAGAAAATAACAAATGCTAGCTAGGGTGTGAAGAGACTGAGACCCTCCTACACTGTGGATGGAACTGTAAAATGGTGCAACCACTGTGGAAAACAGTATGCTGTTTCCTCAAAAAGTTGGAAATAGCAATACCATATGACCCAGCAATTCCTCTACTTGGTATATATCTCCAAGA